TTTTAAAAACCACGATTAAGTTTTAAGTGGTGATACATCATTGCTCTTCACACAAACTGGGGATTCTTCTGCTTTGTCTTTTTTGTTTTCTTCTTTGTTTTTTTTTAACATAGTAAATACTGTTATTGTACTAGAATGAAAACTCTTCCCCTACCTGGAAATCCTCTTGGAACACATTATGTTTATATTTTGTTTGTTTGACGTGTGTGTTTTTTCTTTCTGAACTGTAGTCCTGCATTATAATGAGACAACCTCACTGAAGGAGCCCCTGTCTAGTTTGCTTTTCAGCATTTCAGTATGGTTTCTTCACTTTCTGAGATTTTAAAGGGTGTTCCCATCTCTGCCATGGGACTCTTCCCATTAGTGGAAACTGCTTTTTCAGTTTATTTGCTTTCTGACCGTCAGTCAGAGAGGATGGTATGATAAAGAAAAGACTATATATAGAGACGTGGACGTTTCTTTTTTATTCTTTTTTCCCCAATAGTAAAGTTGTCTACTGTGGCAAAGATCAGACCCCAGTTGTCTTGTTACTATAAACTGCTAAGGTGTTGGTATTGCCATTGATAACTTTTTTTGCCATCCTGTGAGGTCAGTTTTTGAGACCTGGGTTTTTGCAAGTCAGTTTCAAACTAGTATCTGTTACCTTTACACATTAAACAAACATTTTGGTAGATAAGCTTGTCCAGATCTCTGATACTGGAAACGAGCTGTATTAGAGAGCAAAGACAGTATAATTTATGTTGTGTAATAAGAAATAAGTAATTTTATAGTTTTTAGGGTAAAAATTATATGGCCCTGAAAATATTTTGCTCTTGAAAATATTTAATGGTATTCTAACAGGTGAGCACATTCTAAGGTTGAAGAGTTATTGAAGCGATGTTGTGGAAGACCTGGCTGCTTGCATCGTGTTTGCATTTAATACATTCAGTACTGGCTAGGCAACACTGTACAGGCTGTGCTGCCGCTCTCCAGATGGCCATGTCACAGCAGCATTGCTGCTGAGCTAGTATAGCTGTTGTCAGCAGAGTACCTTTTGTTGAGAATGCTCTGAGAATAAAGATGTAAGAGTAGTTTGAGTCTTAATGTAGGATGCATGTCTTTTAAAGGAGCATATCTTCCATTCCCATCTCTGTTCTTGTTCCCTGCACCTTGTTATTGTGAAGTGGTCTTGCAGTTGTGCCCACAGGTACTCACAGGCTCGCTCCCCCCACCACAGATGATAGCCTTTTCTCTCCCTTGTTGATGTCTTCGTGCACAAATTCTCAGGCATATCTCTTTTTCTAGATGGATTTCTTTGCAACTGCTTCAACTGTGATGTGATTTTTCTCCCAACTCTCATGAAACATGTCTGTACACACCGACCAAAAGGTGTGCAAAGGCAGCTATCTCAGACGTGTCCTTAAAGGTGTTAATTGTGCCACCAGGACACTGAGGGGAACTATTCCTGTATTATATTCCATATTATTATTATGTAGTGTACTATATGGTATATTATTATAGATTAGAATCTATTATTATTATATCCATGTATTATAGTATTATTCTGTCATATACCTGTGTGGGATGTCTGTGTTCAGTCTTATTATATTTCTTGCTGCTGAAGCTCCTCCCCTTCCACCTTTAAGAAACATTTTATTTAGGTAAATATTTTGGGGAAAAATGAGGGTGTAGGGCCTCATTCCTAATACTCTGGGGTTTTTTATGGCACCACTAAAACCTTGCTTAGAAAGCTTTCCGTATCAAGGGGAGGACCTGCATCCAATCTTGTGGATGTCAAAGCAAGCATTTCTGCAGAAGCAGTTGTATGCTATTTGATCTGATTCCCTTGCTGCTAGAATTGTAATGTGGTACTATGTTACTTTGCCTAAAAAAGCACAAGTTATGTCTCAGATTTGACTAACGCTTCTGTGTGGGTTTAAAGAAATGCTTTTTTCTAGCAGTAGAGTTTAGGTATTTATTCATAACATCTGATTTGGGCTGCGCAGAGAAAGTGCACAGATGCCATTGCCTCGTGGCTGAAGCTGAAATTTCAAATGTTTTTTTAAAAAAAAAAATTTCCTGTCCCTGTGGGGGCAGATTTATTAATTGAGGTCGATGCCTCTCTTTCATAGAGGTAAAGCACCCATTCAGCACTTAATTGGCGGGGGGGGGGAGGGAGTTTTCTGCTGAACTATCCCCATGAACCCCGTTTTTTTTGTCATTTTTTCCTCTTTGAACTGTACATTTGAAGCAGAAGCCTGATGTCTTTCTGCTGCGTGCTGTTTAGCTGGTTATGTGATCAAACTAGCTTGCCCTCTCACCGAGCAGGAACCTCTCTCTGCTGATGCTTGCTGGAATGGACGATGGGCTTTTCGACAATAGTTCAATTTGTTAGAGGGGGTTATCCCATCTATTTTGGACATGTTAAGAGAACATTCTGAAGGACAATTTTTGTCATACATTTCTTTCTAATTTTGCTTTTGAGGGAAGGTCAGTGTTGTATAACTAGGAGTTGCATTAATGTAGTGTTCTTTATCTCTGCGTGTGCTTAGTCTGAAGCAGAAAATCAAGAAGTCTTTTGAGCCTTTGACTCCCTGAAGAAGGATTTTACCACCTCATGGGGTGCTGTAGAGGACCCTAGTTTGTTCTGTGTGATCAGTTTGTCCTGAATGGCAATTCCTTTTAGCTTCTGGATGGAAAAACATTTGTGGTTTTTGTTTTGTTTTGTTTGTTTGTTTTTTTGGTTTTTTCCATAAGATCTGAAATGCTTGAAAGTCAAAATACAAAACTGTCATCTCAGTAGACATTTTCTACATCCTGGGCTAACGTCATTTCAGTGCATACAGAGAAATTAATATGTTTCTATAAAAATTTCACCATGAGAAAGTATCGGTAGATGGCACTGCACCAAGACACAGGTTTCTCTCCATTGGTAGGTATTGAAATTGTGGTAAACCTTTTGAAGGCCTTTAACATCTAAGCTAGCCCTTGTATCCAGTTGCTGTCTTAAGTGTTGTAAAACATCACAGCAGATATAAATCATTATGCCTGTTGTTTTTGCATTATCTTTGTTGTGTAGATTACTTGAATTCCTAATTAATCATACTTTTGCCTGCAGATCTGTATTTGGGTATAGAAGTTAACGAGCTACCCTGTGTTTGAACAACTTCTCGTTTTATGTGGTACTTTAGCTTTAGTTTGCAGAGTAACCACGCTGTAAGCATGCTTTAACAGGTACTGAGCAAGTGAGACTTTTATCTAGAAATTAACTTTGTTTCATTCAAAGTGCTGGGAACTTCGAAAGTGGTGTGAGGCACAGCTGTCAGCCAGCCTTGTTCCTCAGAGCCTTAGAACTGCTTGCTTATGTAATTTTTTTTTTTTTAATTTAAATTTTTTTTTTTATGCCTAAGATGTTAGGTTTGGAAGGAAATCTGCAGAGCTTGTATCACAGATAGAGTTCCCATATTTCTCTTATGCAGGCTGCTAAAGCTTTGTTGGCTTGTTGGCGCTGGGTGGGAAGTTCACTGTTGTTGCGTTTCTGAGCCTGTCTTGACCCGGGACTCCTCAGACCTAATATCCTCCGATTTGCACAGATAACATCATGAAGTTTGAACTATTTGTATGTTTTATTTTTCATAGATGTTCCCGCTAGGCTTGTTTTAAACCTTGTAGGTTTGTGTGCTGCCTTAAAGGAGCTGCTAAAATCAGGCATCGGTTAGGTAGCACAAGGTCAGTATGATGATATGCAATGATTATAGGTAAGAAGTGATTTCTGAAGTGACTTGAGCAGACCCATCTAAACAGTTTTGTCTAAAGGGATGACAGGGCCGTATCCTTCTTCCTTTGACTCTTT